AGATTTTATTTATTCACTTGAGACACAGAGATACAGAGAGGGAGAGAGAGAGCATGAGCAGGGAGAGAGGTAGAGGGAGGAGGAGAAGCAGGCTCCCCGCTGAGCCAGGAGCCTGATGTGGGGCTCGATCCCAGGACCCTGGGATCATGACCTGAGCCGAAGGCAGATGCTTAACCATCTGAGCCACCCAGGCACCCCGCATCTTACCCTTTTTTTAGACTTTTGTTTAATGCTGCCTTTCTCAAATTCTAAATACTGCCCAGCGTTCTGTGAGCATTCTAGCATTAGAAGTCTCATCGTAGGGGCCCAAGCGTTTGTCAGCATCTTTGACGGCTGCCTGCCCTGTGTAGGTAGGTTGGATTGTGTGTCTTCTGTTGACAGCGCTGCATGTGAACGGCCATCTGCTTGTTTCTTCCGCCCTCATAGGCTCCACCGTGAACTTCCTCTGTCCAAGTTGTAAGAAGTAACACCTGAGAAGGATCACATGAGAAACAAAAACCTTGCAATCATTGAAACTTGACAGCCTCTACTCAGTGGGCCCTATCATGCTTCAATTTTATAGTATGTTATTTTTTCTCCCCTAGATGAAAATAAACCCATTTGGATGCATGCTGAAGAAAGAGAAGAATGCAAAGTAAGAATACACTGTTTTGGGAGATTGTCTAAATTGAATATATTGCTTTAAAGATAATTATTCACTTGTTATATTTTAGGGAAAGCAAAAGGACGGGACATCTTTTGGAGAGTATGGCGGTTGGTACAAAGCCTGCAAAGTTGATAGGTATGTCTTTTTTTCTTTAAGATTTTTTTTTATTTTAGATAGAGCAAGAGCGAGTGAGTGAGCAGGGGGAGGGGCAGACAAGGAGGGAGAGGGACAAGTGGACTCCACACTGAGCGCAGAGCCTGACACGGTGCTCGATCTCACAACCCTGAGATCATGACCTGAGCTGAAATCAAAGAGTTGGATGCTCAACTGACTGAGCCACCCAGGTGCCCTGATAGGTATGTCCTTTTAACTGAAGAAACAGAACTGCCCTGGAAGGTGCTAGTGCTTTAAGGGCAGCTTGTAAATGACTGAACGTGGAAGTTCCTCCAGGTGGTGCGTGTGCACAGCCCCGTAACTTTGTAGGTGAGGTAACGTACCTACACACAGCTCACTGAAGTATAGATGAAGCACAGGGTCTGTCCGTTACGGAAGAAGAACTTACTAGAACTTTACAATTAAAGTACTGTAGAAATTTCAAAAATATTTCTCACAAACTTATGTCTGTTAGTGCTTTAGATTTTGTGCTATTGATAGTAGTTGTTCTAAAACTTGTATTTAATAGTTCTGTGTATCCTGTGCTTTCTTACAGTCCGACTGTTACAACTACTTTGAAAAACCTTGGGGCACTTTACAGACGTCAGGGCAAATTTGAAGCTGCAGAAACATTGGAAGAAGCAGCCATGAGGTCCCGTAAACAGGTCAGTGACCTGCCTTCTGTTTTTAACTCACCTGTTAGACCTTTGAGTGTAATGACTCTTTTATGTAACTTGTCGAGAGCTTGATTTAGAAGTAGGAAATATTTAATATTTTAGTTTGCACAAAGAAAATGATATTGTTTAAGAGACCGTAACTATGACGCCGAAAGCATAAGCAGCAAAAGAAAAACTCGATCAGTTAGATTCACCAAAATTAGAAATGTTTGTGCGGGGCGCCTGGGTGGCTCAGTCGTTAAGCGTCTGCCTTCAGCTCAGGTCATGATCCCAGGGTCCTGGGATCGAGCCCCGCATCGG